AGGGAATGTGCATATGTGAATAATTGAAAAAATTCATTTGAAGATGCATATGTGAACCCATATGCATAATCTGTAACGTTGGTTAACATATACATCTTCAAATAGAATTTTTTCATATTTTTCCGATGATTCACATATGAGCCTTACCTTTTTACCTTCTCATAATTTAGAATACAAGAATGACCAAATCATGTGCAAAATCACATGTGATTTTACACTAATGATCAACGCAATGGTGTGTAGGCAACATGACTCACGACCTTAGGTCGTGGCCAAAGTCGTGTGAATCACATGTGATCTTACTCATGATTTTAGTGTAAAATCACATGTGATTCAACCATTTTCTTATTCTTTTATTTGGTTATTGTTCTCATATTAACCTGATTATATATACAAGGTGTGAGCACTTCTAATACTCTGGATGAGTTGATTTTTTACGTAACGACTAAAAAAATACGGACCTTCATCTTCACCTTTAGTCACATTCATGGACTTTTACATGCTTTCAATCACTATAACATGCATCAATTTGTTAATACTTCAGCACAATGATATTAATAGGTAAATGAAAGTACATAAAGATTTGTGGAATGCAGGTAAATGAAGGTAGTTGAAGATTTTTGTTTTCACGTTCTCACAAAGAAACTATTCTCACAGGACCCAACTCTCTCTCTCTCTCTCTCTCTCTATATATATATATATATATAGAGAGAGAGAGAGAGAGAGTGTGTGTGTGTGTATGTGTGTGTGTGTGTCAGGTTCATATGAGAGCAATAACTAAAAAAAGAATATAAAAAAGGTTAAATCACATGTGATTGTACACCAAAATCACATGTGATGTTAAACGAGATTTGACCTATTTTCGTGTTCTATTATTAAGTTAATGTTCTCGTTTGTATATGTATATATATGGAAAGAGAGGGAGAAGGGAGGATCAAAAGAGAATAAAGTCAATAAGATAACAAGAAAACAGTCAAATCACATGTGATTTTACATGTGTTACGGAGCACGATCAAAACAAAGGTGAGAAGATGATCTGGCCCGTGACTTCAGGTTACGGCCAAAGTCACATGAATCATGTGATTTTACACATGATGTTAGTGTAAAATCACATATGATTCGACATTTTTCATGTTCACGTATTTAGTTAATATTCTCTCATGAAAATTACTATATAAAGATATTAAGTTATATTATATAATGAAGTTTTTACTTTTTTTTTGAAAAAAAGACAAAAAAAAAGTGTAAAATGACCAAAATGGCCCCCTAGATAACTAGGTTAATTTTTTTTTAACTTTGTTAGTTAGAGGGATCAGAGTTATTATAACTTGAATACCAGAGGAAGCATATTCACAATTAATAGAGTATAGGGACATTAGTCATAATTTTTGACATACGACATAAACCAAAAGCGTAATTCACTCCATTTTATAATACCCTGGGAGCTAATGAACTTATTTTAGTTATAACACTTTTGGTCTCTACAGTTTCGAAATTAAAAGATGGCTACCCTGGTTTTGTAAAAACGATCGGATTTGGTCCATCCCTCTACGGGCTATTTAGAGAACCCGTTAAGTTAGAGATATTTTAGTTTTTTCACACTTTTATCTCATTTTCTTTAATAAATAAATAAATATGTAAATTACAAGGACCAAAAATGTAACTTTCTCTAATATAAACAATGAGAGATAACACAACTCCATGGTTTTCGTTTTTTCACCCGCCTCTCTTCTCCAACGCCCGTCACCCTCTCCCTGCGACTCCGATGCTTTCATCTCTCACCTATGACATCTTCATCTCCGTTATTCTTCTATTTAATGAAGCCTAACCGAGGTCGATTTCATCTCGGTTGTCTCTGCTGACAACAAGGAAATGGGTGAGTTTTTGTCGACAATGGGACGGAGAGAGGCGGCTAGTACATGGAGGATATCGATAGTCGTAGTTCACTGATTCTTCATTTGGTGAGTTAAGGTGTCGATTGGTGGTGATGCGGAGGGTTAAGGAATCTATTTATTCATTAATTTCTTCATTTTGCGGAAGTTTCATCAATCTCATACTTGACATATCCAGAGGTTTGGACTTTGTTTTTCATTTTGGGGAAAGTTTCATCGATCTCTTACTGACAGATCTAAAGGTTCGAATTTTGGTATTCATTTAGGACAATATTTCATAGATTTCTTCATTGTGATGTTGGTTTTCGTTTTAACTTTAGTTTGGATTTGAGAGATGGCTGGGGGTTCACCGGAGAAAATGACTGAAAGTTTGTCGGAAACGATGACCAAAGATTTTACTGACGAAAAGGGGTTCATGGTTCCCAAGAAAGGTTAAGAAAGTGGCGTGAATCCAGTGCATTAATTTATAAAAGACATTTTATTTTTAATAAAAAATGAGATAAAAACCAAAAATTATTAAAATACTCTTAAAGTTAGCGGTTAAGTATTAATGGTTGTTGGAAGGAGAGACGAACATGATAGTCATCTTGTTTTAAATCTGTAAAAAAACCAAAAATATTATAACCAACAAATTAGGGGGCCAAATTTGTAGTTTGTATCAAATATTTTATAACGCAAACTATAAAATTGGTCCCTGTGGTTTACTCCTGACTATAAATGAAGTCCCTAAACCTTATTAAGTATAGTAACGATCATCGTGGTTGGAATTTTTCTTGAAAGTGCTACTCCGAAACTTTGTTAAGAATCCGTTAAATAAGGGACGTTTTTGTGTTTTCATCTTTTCTACCTCTAAACCATAACCCTCCCTTGTCGGCCTCATGCGAACAAAAAACAAGAAAAAAAAAAAAAAAAACACTACGACCTTCGAAACCTCAACCTTCACCTTTGATCACGTTGGTAACAGGTTTAGCCTACAACAAAGACCCTCACCGATCTATAGAGGAGCGATCATGGCCTCAACCTTCTTATCTGCAACATGCACATATTTTACGTATTATCAAAAACAATACAATCGGACCACCATGGCTCGAACCTTATTGACCATGCCCGTTGAATTAGATGACGCATCTTCCATTTTAAAGGATGAAATGAAAACAAGGTTTTTTTTAGTTTTTATAACAGGAAAAAAACAGATAAAAAGACGAAAATGTCATTCATTTAATGTCATTTTAAGTAAGCCTATTTTGAATGATTAATTCCCCGGATTATTTTTTTAAATGAGAAAACCACTAAACTTTCTCATTTTAAATGATCAAGTCTTTGAGCTATTTTCTTGAATGAAAAACCATTAAACTTTCTCATTTTAAATGATTAAGTTCTTGAGCATCTTTTTAATAAATTAAACTATCAAACTGTTAGAAATTGGTTACTTACATCATTTTAACTCAAAAAAAAAACTATTTGTAACCAATTATCTTTTAGCTCTTCCTCTTTTGATAGACAAAAAATAGATCACAAAGCGGGAGATCGATGGCAGAAGCCAACAACGTGTTACGCAATACAGAGAACAGACAATGTCGAGGCAACATGAAGCAGCGAGGGGGAGCGATACTATTGTTAGCAAGGGGTATTAATGGCATAAGGTTTGGCTACAGTAAAATCGATTTAGGTTTGTTTTTACTTAAAAACATTAATAGTCAGTTACATGTAGCTTTTTAAAAAATATAGATAACCAATTTTTAGAAGTTCGATAGTTTATTTATTAAAAATGTTTATGGACTTAATCATTCAAAATATGAAAGTTTAATGGTTTTTTCATTCCAAAAAATAGTTCAGATGTTTGACCATTCAAAAATGAAAAAGTTTAATGATTTTCTTATTCAAAAGAATAGTTCAAGAACTTAATCAATCAAAATGTACATAATTCATTGGATTTTTATAGAATTTTTCTTATCAGCTTTAAAAGTCAAACGCAAACCAACAACGTAGTTGATAGACATTTATGGGTATCTGTAATTAGGCATGAATATGGGGCAGAGACCTCAATCCTTATCCCTGTCCCCGATTACTTATCTCTATTCTCGTCCCTATCCCCATCCCCGCCGGGGAATATAATCACATCCCCCCCCCCAAAATACCCAACGGGGAACGGGGATCCCCAACGGGGATTTTTTTCCCGTTTATATAAGTTATTTTAAATTAAATATGTAAAAGACCATACATGTTTAAATCTCAAACATTTGCAATAAACCTAAAACCAAAATGAATTTAATTTAATACAAAAAAACCACAACACCATATAAGAACTAATAATCTAAAACCAAAAAAAAATCAATTAAATCCAAAAAAAAACTTAAAGTTACATGTACCAGAAGATATTGAGTAATATAAAACCATATCGAGTAATTATTTTGACTTGATATCTAAAATATTACATATTAACATCCAAAAAATAACAATTTTAGATTATAAACCTATTTAAAAAATCGAAAATTATGAACTACAGTTTTAATTGAAATAAATAATAAAAAATCAATTAAATCCAAAAAAAAAAACTTAAAGTTACATGTACCAGAAGATATTGAGTAATATAAAACTATATCGAGTAATATACAAAACTTATCGAGTAATTGCATTTTGACTTGATATCTAAAATATTACATATTAACATCCAAAAAATAACAATTTTAGATTATAAACCTATTTAAAAAATCGAAAATTATGAACTACGGTTTTTATTGAAATAAATAATATATATATATAATGGGTACGGTATGAGGCGGGACAAGACGAGGTATACCATATTCGTCCCCATCCTCATCCTCGATTTGAAACAAAAGGGGATCTCCGTCAATTGTGGTTTATTTTTAATTTCAGTTTTTTATATATTTAAATATTATCCGATTTATATTCAGAACATGGTACGTAATTTCAAATTTATTCAGACAATTAATATTCGACTGAAAACATGATTTTTACAAAAATAAATAAAAGACAGTTTCTCCAAATGGATGAAAAAGAATCTAATTCTTTGTTTCAGCATCAAACCAGAATTAGAATGGCGTGACCGTCTATAAACCACGCCACGTAGAGATTCTAAGGAGCGCAGATTCTTCAATACCAACCACCATTCCACACGTACGTACCATCCCCAAAATTCGTTTCCATGAGGGGCTGGTGGTAACCACCATCACAACCAATTCGGAGATTTCTCATCTCCACCGTACCTACGTACGTACGTGATGGCCGGCCAATCTCGGAAATGGATGATTCTGATGGCCAGCATATGGATCCAGGCTTTTACAGGCACCAATTTTGACTTCTCTGCCTACTCGTCGGAGCTTAAGAAGGTGTTGCAGGTATCGCAGGTGGAATTGAACTATCTCGCCACCGCATCTGATTTAGGGAAGGCGTTTGGGTGGTCGTCGGGACTGGCGCTCGTATATTTTCCCTTATGGATCGTCATGTTCATCGCGGCTTTCATGGGGTTTTTCGGTTATGGACTTCAGTGGCTCCTGATTCGTCGCATCATCACTCTTCCTTATTTTCTGGTGAGTTCAAATTCCTCTATTCATCATCATCATGCATCCATGCATGAATCTATGTATTTCATTTACCACAACACATGAATTCCTATTTGTTTTAAGCATTTTATCGATATTTCAAAATCGTAGGTTTCATTGTCTCGCTTTAATTTGCTTAATTAAATGATCGGAACTTAAACCCTAATCTAACAATCTATTATATATCAATCCCCAAGAGCCTTGTTTTGAATGGGGGAATCAAGTATCATGTTCGATAAAAACAACTTATTTACTTATTCCGGTGTGTTTCCGTAATAAGCACTTTTGAGGGGGTGTTTGGGATTGCTTATTTTATCTGCTTATTGACTAATTTCAGTCTGACACCGGTGATAAGCTAATACCTAGTGTTTGGATAAGAAAAAAGAAAACTGTTTATACCGGTGCCAAACCGGTAATAAACAGTTTTTGATAAGTTAATCCCTGACTTATGAAAAACTGCTTATTACCAGTTTACCATTTTAATCCTATTACCCTTTATACCTATCTTTTTTCCTCCAGATAACATCGATCTCAATCTTCTCCCTTCTCCATATAACAACATCAATCTTCTCTCTGTCCTTTTTGGTCATTTTAACAACATCAATCTTCTCTCTGTCATTTTTGGTCATTTTACAGATATAAACAAAATTTGCCAAACACTAAAAAAACAACTTATCAGCTTATTACAGTTTGGTACCGCTGTAAGCTAATCCAAACACTTTTTACAAAACTCCAGTTTAATACCACATAAGTTAATAAGCACTTTTACAAAAAAGCATAAGTTGTTTTAAATAAGCAATCCCAAACACTCCTTGAGTGTTTGGATAAACAACTTATACCTGTACCAAACCGATAACAAAGAGTTTTTGAAAAAGTTAAACTGACTTATAATAAGTTGATAAGTACTTTTGTAGAAAAAACATAAGTTGTTTCAAATACGCAATCCCAAACACACTCTATTGGCCAAAATAACTCCGAAAGTTAGTAAGGTCTTACATAGAACTTCAAGCACTAACATCTCCCACAATTCTTTAAAATGGAGATTTTAGAGTATTTTCTTCTCTAAACATCCGTAACTTTTTCAATTCTTAAAATCTGGAGTACTTCCCGAACATGATTCGAGCATCTCCGATGCAAGTTCTGAACCTATTTTTGTATTTTTTGTTATCGCATTATTTCTAATTCAGAACCAACATAAAAGTGCATAATGATAATTCTTATAAAAATATTTTTTGTGGGTCCCATATATTTTTTTTAAACATCAATAATTATTATATATTTATAAATAAAAATATATAAAAAAACTAGCAAATTATCATTTAATACCAACTTCAAATAAGAAACATAGATTCTTATACAAAAACTCAAAGGATGTGGGCTTCTTGTAAGAAGCTCACATTTTTTGCTTATAAGTTCTTTGAACAGGAGATGCTCGGTAAGAACCTTAAATTAGAGATGCTATTACTTAGGACAGATAAATAATTTTTAATTACTTTCAGTCATTTAAATTAAAGTTAGGAGAGATAAATAGTATATCATTAAATGCATTGAATATTTTAATAATATGATTAATGTCATATTCTACAAAGTAAAAAAATTATTGGAGTTTGAATATATTCCTTTTTGGAGATTTGATATTTGATTCTCCATTTTGAAGAATTTGTTCGGAATGCTCTAAAATATATTCTTTGTTATCTCATTTTCCAGTGTAATCTAACAGTTTTGGATGTTGAACATCCCTGAAAAGGTGCTTAAAAATGGTGGTGTTAGGTTGGTTTGGCTGAATGCTTAGGACTTATTACCTAAAGAGAGTTCAAATTCTTCCATTGAGATTCTTGATGAACTTTTTTGGCAGTGTGGCTGCATATGTTCTTTTATCTCAATGGGTAATCATAATATTCACTATGGCCATGCCATTACTTGCAGGTATTTCTACTATGCTTGTTGGCTGGATGTAGTATCAGTTGGTTCAATACAGTTTGTTTTGTTCTATGCATCCAAAACTTCCCCAGAAGTCGACCTCTAGCCATCTCCCTCACCGTAAGCTTCAATGGCGTAAGCGCAGCCTTGTATAACCTCGCAGCCAAAGCAATCAACCCATCGTCCTATGATCTCTACCTTCTCCTCAATGCCTCTGTCCCACTCTTCACCTCTATTGCAGCCCTCATCCCGATCCTCCGGCAACCCCCAATAAGCCCACTTCATTCAGACATCACTCGCCATGATCACTTCATATTCATCGTCTTAAATATCTTTGCTGTCATCACTGGCCTCTATCTCCTTTTGGCACCTTCAAATCATGCAAAGCTCTTCTTTTCTGGTGCCATTGTTTTGCTTATTCTTCCATTGGGAATCCCAGGTATGGTGTATGGTAGAAACTGGTTTAAGCATGCCATATACCCAAAGATTCTTGTCAAAGGGTCAAGTTTCGTTTTTGCTGATGCTGATGATCTTGACCTGTGTAAAGAGCTCCTCGATGGTAATCATGATACTACTGTGGTTGTACATAATGATGATAACGGGATTGAAAATGTACAAGATGGTACAACACGTAAAGGGTGTTGGGAGATGATGATAAAGAGCGATAGATTGGTAATGCTCGAGGAAGAGCATGATACAAAGAGGCTCCTTTGCAGGATCGATTTTTGGCTGTATTACTTTGCATACTTTTGTGGGGGAACAATCGGGCTAGTTTACAGTAACAATCTAGGCCAGATAGCGCAATCGCTTGGTTTAAGTTCAAGTACTTCCACCCTCATCACACTCTATTCATCTTTCTCCTTCTTCGGCCGGTTACTTTCAGCAGCACCAGACTTCTTGAGAATGTAAGTATATACATACATCAAGTTACATTCAGCTATCAGAAAGAGAAACACATACGAAGGCTGTACATGCTCTGTACATCATGTATGTGCCCATATCTCTTCGACTGTCTTTCTTAAAGTGGTATCGGCAACGCCCCACTAATCCACGTCGTCTAGGCCCACGGTCGAACAGTCCTAGAACCGGCAAAAGCCCTCCCTATGGCGGGTTGGCATGGCCACAACGGTTTTTGCCCCCAACAGAAATCGAACCTGAGAGTAAGAGGAACGACCCTTCTTATTGACCCCAAGGATTGCCACCAACCTGATCCTTGTGCGGCCGTGTCTTCTCAACTGTTGTCACCCCTTCAAGGGTGTGTTTCGTACACGAGATAGTACAGTAAAAAAACACGAGATAGTACAGTAAAAAAATTGTTGTCTTACGTTTAGTGCAACATTAGGCTGGGACTAGACAGGTAGGCCAAAAATGCACTTTTTAGTCCCATTAAAATAGGTGGCATAGTCGACTAATCCCAGGGCAACTGCCTGCTTTGCAGATAGCCCGGAGTCATCGCATTTGAACCTCCGTGGCCACAAGGGGATTTTTATTCCTCCTTGGATTTGAACCTGGGACCTCCTGGTACTTTTGATCTTTGAAATCAAGCTCAAACCAATCAGGCACCACTCTTGTGGTTAAATAGGTGGCGTAGTGGTTGAGGCTGGTGGGATATCTCATCTGCCTTGGGTTCAATTCTAGGTATCCACAACAATTGTACCACAATTGTACCATTGAGTTTACCTGGAGTGATATCTTATGGTCATAATTTGCCGGGATTAGTTTGGCAATAGCGTCAGACTCTGCTCCAAAATAATAGGTGGAATAAAATTAAGGGGAGATTGCAAAAACTTCGTAATTACTAAACTAGTCATGTCAAATTAAAACCCTAATACCTTCAAGAATTCTTTTGTCCATTTAGTCATATATGCGTATCAAACGCACCCTGTATGATCCTTCATGTATAGAAATTTGATTTATAAATGTATATAGGAAGTTGTACTTGGCAAGGACCGGCTGGCTAGCCATTGCACTGGTGCCAACACCGCTAGCCTTGCTCGTGCTTTCGATGACAGAAGCCGAGGTAGCACTTCAGATTGGAACTTCCCTCATCGGGTTAAGCTCCGGCTTCATTTTCTCAGCAGCCGTGTCGATCACATCAGAGCTTTTCGGACCTAGGAGTGTTGGTGTGAACCACAACATTCTCATCACTAATATCCCAGTCGGGTCACTCGTTTACGGTCTTCTTTCTGCCCTCGTCTATGATGCCAACGCGGTTTCGTATAGGGGATCGTTGGTATGTATGGGAAGAGAGTGCTATTTTGTAACGTTTGTTTGGTGGGGTTGTGTTTCGGTTTTAGGGCTATTTTCAAGTGTGTTGTTATTCTTAAGAACTCGACGTGCTTACGATAGGTTCGAACGTAACCGGGCTTGTCTAGTATCATAATAGATATAGTTTCAAGTAGTGATAGAGTAGATCCGGTTGGAATGTTGTCCACATAAGAATCGACGCATTCCAATTGGTTTAGGGGGTGTTTGGGATTGCTTATAAAAACAACTTATTCACTTGTTCCGGTGTGACATCTTTAATAAGCACTTTTGAGTGTTTGGATAAACAACTTATACCGGTGTCAAACCGGTAATAAGGAGTTTTTGAAGAAGTTAAACCTTTCTGACTTATAATAAGTTGATAGGTATTTTTGTAGAAAAGCATAAGTTGTTTCAAATAAGCAATCCCATGGCTATCGATCAAAAATAGATGCTTGAATGAAAGGGTAGAAAAGTAAGATTTATTTGATACCTTGTAAATTTGATAAAATTAAGTAGAATGATTTGTATAGTTGTAGTAGCAGTCATACATATACATATAATGTTGTGTAAAGTTTTTTGTATTGAGAGTATATATATACTAGAAGAGTACTTGCGTAATGCAGCGAAACACATCTCGATTTTAATGTTCTATTTTATTGTTTGTCTTTGTCGATGTTATAATACGATTTTATGTGTTTTTAAGCAAATAATAATGATTTTATTTTTGAATAAAATATAAATTTGAATATATTGTAAAAATTTGGAAAAAAAAATATAGCAATGTTAATATCAAATCAACTATTTAAAAGTTTTCATTTTTATGTAATTTCTTTAATTTATT